GTACCGTAGCATGATGCTAACACCCCCCCCCGTGTCTGTACCGTAGCATGATGCTAACACCCCCCCGTGTCTGTACCGTAGCATGATGCTAACACCCCCCCCCGTGTCTGTACCGTAGCATGATGCTAACACCCCCCCCGTGTCTGTACCGTAGCATGATGCTAACACCCCCCCCCGTGTCTGTACCGTAGCATGGTGCTAACATCCCTCCGATGCTACGGTACAGAGAGGATGCTAACACCCCCCCCTCCGTGTCTGTACCGTAGCATGATGCTAACACCCCCCCCGTGTCTGTACCGTAGCATGGTGCTAACATCCCTCCGTCTCTGCACCGTAGCATGATGCTAACACCCCCCTGTGTCTGTACCGTAGCATGATGCTAACACCCCCCCCCCCTGTGTCTGTACCGTAGCATGATGCTAACACCCCCCCCGTACCGTAGCATGATGCTAACCCCCCCCGTGTCTGTACCGTAGTATGGTGCTAAAATCCCTCCGTCTCTGCACCGTAGCATGATGCTAACATCCTGTGTTTCCTCCATCTAGGCTAGCAGCGACGATGGCGCGGTGCACCAGACGAAGTCGCGTGAGGATCAGCCCATCGATGACGTGCAGCTCAGGATTGAATCGCTCAGCGGGACGAAGGGGGGATTACAATTCTACTGTCCGATCGGCAACCACGTGCCGACAGCACTTATGCCGATCCGGCTCGCCAAATACGACTCGGGCGTCGACTTCATCCTGGCGCTCGAGGAGTTGGAAAGAAACATCGAGCAGGTAGGTGGCGCTGGCATCTTGCATCGGAGAAATATATAGTGGGAGCACTGATTTATATATAACTCAGTAACTTATACATAGATTAGTGAGTGGGATCTCGTATACGTCGACGATGATGATGGGTTATTGATAATAGTGGTGATTGCGTGTCGCGTCATAACAAATTGTTGCGTGGGTGTGTGCGTGTGTGCGCGTATGTGGGTGTGCGCGTGAGTGCGCGTACGTGGGTGCGCCCGCGTGGGTGCATGTGTGCGTGCTTGCGCGGTTTATCCGAAATGTTGGCGCTTCTTGGCTTAGCTTTTCTACCCCAATTAAAAGTTAACATCGCAAAGAGGAGCGTGGAGAGCTGTGGTACATGAGCCAGATAGCGTGCGCTGCGAACTAGGCCGATACACGAATACCTCGATCTATAACTGCGGTGTTGTTGTGTGTAGCTATAGCTGCGAGTGATGTTACAGGCTGTAACTACATCTACGGATTATGTTGCTCCTGCCATGTGTAGTTATAGCTGCGTGTAATGTTGCAAGCTGTTGCCGTGTGTAGCTGTAGCTGCGTGTAATGTTGCAAGCTGTTGCCGTGTGTAGCTGTAGCTGCGTGTAATGTTGTAAGCTGTTCCCGGGTTTAGCTATAACTGCGTATAATGTTTTTTGCTGCTTTCGTTAGTAGCTACAGCTGTGGGTAGTGTTGCCGTATGTAGCCATACCTGCGGGTAATGTTGCCGGCTGTTACCGTATGTAGCCATACCTGCGGGCAATGTTGCCGGCTGTTGCCGTGTGTAGCCATACCTGCGGGCAATGTTGCCGGCTGTTGCCGTGTGTAGCCATACCTGCGGGCAATGTTGCCGGCTGTTGCCGTGTGTAGCCATACATGCGGGCAATGTTGCCGGCTGTTGTCGTGTGTAGACATAGCTGTGGGTATTGTTGTAGGCTACTGCTCGCCGTGCCGAGGTGATTGCTAATAAGAAGGCTGCAGGCAAGAAACAGTGCGAGCACGCCGAGGAGATAAGAAAGGCTTTCAAGGCTAGCCAGGCCGAAAAGACCAGAAAGATGCGAGAAGTGCAGGAACAAAAGTAAGCGAAGCGTTACAAGAGTGAACAGATATAAAGGGGGATGTGGATGGATAGAAGAGAGTCATGCGCAAATGCATTGCCACTGTCTATGGCACCGATTTTTTATCTCTTGTATATTCCTCAACTTCTCCCATACTTCCTATTCGCGTTTCTCTCGGTTTCCTGCTCTCTTTTTCCTCCCTCTTCGGTATATTTTTTTCCGATCCCCCCCCCCTCTCTCTCTCTCTCTCTCTCTCTCTCTCTCTGTCTCGCCGTTCTCTTTCACTCCCCTTCTCGCTTCCTCTCTACTCTTTCATCTCCCAATCTCTCTCACCAATTGTTCACACCCTATATCTTTCCTTTTTCTATCTGTCTGTCTCGCTTTTGTCTCTCTGGTCTGTCCTTCGATTACACGTGCTGGCACAATCTCGCTTAATTCTAATCTTAATCTTTCGCATCTTTCCCCTCGTTTACGTTATTCCCCCCCCCGTCTCTCTCCTCCTCTCTCTCTCTCTCCTCTCTCTCTCTCCTGTCTCTATCTCTAGCTCACTCTCTCTCGCTCTCGCTCTCGCTCTCCTTCCCCCTCGCGCTCTCCCCCTCTCTCTCTCTCTCTCTCTCTCTCTCTCTCTCTCTCTCTCTCTCTCTCTCTCTCTCTCTGTTTTACTCTAACAATCTCTCTCGTTCTCTTTCGCTCTTTAACACTCCCTATAGCACTCTTGCTCCAGCATCCAGAGTCCAGCATTGTGCCATCTCCATCTATGTAAGAAAAAAATTACGTATGTAACATGCCAAATAAAAACGCTCCCTCGTTCAGCGTCTCTATACTTTCATGTGCCGTATTGCTGCATCATTCGCAGGTTCGAGGCTGTCAGCCAGAACAAGGAGAGACTGCAGGAGAAACAGGAGGAACGACTGCGCGATGCTGAGGTTAAGCGTGTGGTAGTTGGCCTTAAGGGAACCACTATGCGTCAGAAGGTATGTGTATGGTCTCCCCCCCCCTCTCTGTGTCTGTTTTTCTATGTGTATCATTATCTTTCTTCCCTTCTCTATTTGCCTTCCCCTTCTCTCTATCTCTATCGATATTTGTCTTCCCATCTCTCTCTATCTCTATCACTATCTCTATCACTATCTCTATCACTATCTCTATCACTATCACTATCACTATCACTATCACTATCTCTATCACTATCACTATCTGTATCTGTATCTGTATCTGTATCTGTATCTGTATCTGTATCTGTATCTGTATCTGTATCTGTATCTGTATCTGTATCTGTATCTGTATCTGTATCTGTATCTGTATCTGTAGCTGTATCTCTATCTCTATCTCTATCTCTATCTGTATCTGTATCTGTATCTGTATCTGTATCTGTATCTGTATCTGTATCTGTATCTGTATCTCTATCTCTATCTCTATCTCTATCTCTATCTCTATCTCCATCTCCATCTCTATCTCTATCTCTATTTCTATCTCTCTCTCTCTCTCTCTCTCTCTCTCTCTCTCTCTCTCTCTCTCTCTGTTTCACTCTCCCTGTTTTCCTTCTCCGCGTTCCTCTCTCTCTATGCACGCGTGCATGAATGTTTGCGTGCGTCATGCGCGCGTACGTGCGCGCGCGCGTGCGTGCGTGTGTATGTGTATATATTTTCCCTCGATTCGCTCGTTCTCTCGTCCCATTGACCAACTATCGAACGTTTTCTCATATGTATTACTCTCTGTTTCGTCTTTAGGTGGCAGAGACCCCTGTTGTTGAGCACATCGAAGTGCAGGAGCTGTAACTCCACTAACTGCTTCCATCTCCGACCGCTGCGTCACCGCTGAGATATCAACCAACCCAGCCCGACGTTTGGTTAGCGATTTAGTTACTTTTACTTGATACCGATCTGAGATGTGGGTGTACGCGTTTCATAGACAAATTTCAAATACTCGGCCGTAAAATTTATTCAAATATCAATTTAAAAAGTTTCAAGCATTACTTTCAAAATTCGGACTCTTAAATCGGACTTAATTTCAAACCCCTGGCTAACGCGTTCCACAAACAGACGGCATCTCTCAACACATTATTTGATGGCTATTTCGATTGCAAAATTTAAAGAGTGATCTCAATTTCACTTTTCATAATTAGATTCAAAATTTAAACTAACATTTCAAAATTCAACTCCGACCTCGCCGTTATAGTTGAGATATCAACAATCCAGCAGAGCATTTAGTTACTTTACTTATTTTTACTTCACAATAGTCTGAGATATGGGCATTTTCGCTTCAAGACAAATTCTATCTATTTGTTTACAATTTCGATTACAAATGCAATTTCAACGCCCAATCTCCGTTTCAAAATTTAATTAAAAAAAGTTTTTAAATTTAAACTAAATTTTTAAAATTTCACTGCGACCTCTACATCCTAGTTGAGATGTCAGGAATCCAATTGGACATTTAGTTAGTTATTTACTTTTACTTCATACTATTCCGAGATATGGGCACATTTTAAGAGACAACATTTTCAAACTTCAAATTCGACCTCTGCCTTCCAGCTGAGATGTCAACCAAACCGGCAGAATGTTTAGTTAGTAAAGTAGTTTTACTTCACAGTATTCTGAAATGTAGGCACATGCGTTTACAAGACAATTTTCAATTATTCAATCAGAATCTGGATTGAAAAATTAATCTATATAGTAATGCTGTAACGGCCGCGTGTAATTTGACGTATCTCCTCCGAAACCGCCGTAAGGAATGTGCCCATTTAACTCTTACCGGGGGGTTTCCAACGTGGCGAAGACACTAAGCTATGTCACTAAGCTTTATTTTGCATAAAAACGTTACTAAAGCAACATTTCACACAACGACGTTCAAAATTTAATTAAAAAAGTGTTTTTTAAATTTAAACAAAATTTTAAAATTTCACTGCGACCTCTACGTCCTAGTTTGAGATGTCAGGAATCCAATTGGACTATATAGTTAGTTATTTACTTTTACTTCATACCTATTCCGAGATATGGGCACATTTTTAGAGACAACATTTTCAAACTTTAAATTCGACCTCTGCCTTCCAGCTGAGATGTCAACCAAACCGGCAGAATGTTTAGTTAGTAAAGTAGTTTTACTTCACAGTATTCTGAAATGTGGGGCACATGCGTTTACAAGACAATTTTCAATTATTCAATCAGATCTGGATTGACAAATTAATTTCAATGTCAAATTTCATGTCAAACGTCAAAATTTTAAATTTCGAAATTTGAAGCAAAATCCTCAAAATTCAACTCCGATCGGTAACTTCTAGCTGAGATTCCAACCAAACCAGCGGAATGTTTAGTTAGTAACGTAGTTACTAACGCAAACATACACACATCGACCAACACGCACGCACGCATACACACATACTCACGCGGACACACACGCACGCGCGCGGACACACATGCACGCACGCCGCTACAAACACGCATAATTTTGATCTGAGCACATTGTTCTGAGGATTTCCAATAGAAATCTCACCCAAGTCGCCCTAATCTAATCAGTTGTTGTGACTGTTCAAAAATTATCTACCAGGTAATCTCGATAGCTCTTGAAAAAAGGTGATGAAATTATGGCAGCCTGGGACCTAGCTTCCATCGATGGCGCAGAGGGCGCATGCGCAAGTGGGACACGGTTAACATTGTTATGTTGTGTAGATATATCACACACCCACACATACACCCCCACAACCACACGCACACACTATAACATACACATAGACACACGACATGCACATGCCCAATTCTACTCTGAGCACCCTGTTCCGAGGATTTCCATCTAAATATCACGAAAATACCGTCTCTGACCCCGATTCCAATCTATGCCCCTTATTTAGAATTTTGACATTTTCTGTCAGGTAAACTCGAAAATCGCCAAAAGATGACAAGATTATGGCAACCTGGTGCGCATGTACGTGCACATGCGCAAGTGGACGCATTAGATCATGTTAGTTTTTAAATTCATCACGACACACACACACACACAAGCACACAAACAGACAAATACACAAACACACAAACACACAAACATCTAATTTTGGTCTGTGCACCCTGTACTGAACGGTTCCAATCAAATTGTCACCCAACCCCCTATAATCTGATCACTGATTTTAATATCGATTTCAATCTAAACCCCTGGTTTCAGAACTGGAACAGCATCTGCAGGTAAGCTCGAAATATCTAGAAAAATGTGATGAAGTTATCGCAGCGTACACACACACGCTCTCTCTTCCTTCTCTTCACTTCTCTCA